TTATTAATCTCACGTGCCCCACTCAATATGGCCGCCGCTTGAGTGGGGCAACTCAGAATAATAACGTGCTGGATTAGTGTGATCCTAGTTCATTTTATTACTTCATTGCTGTGCTGTATGTGTATAGGCCAATGCATTGGCTGGCGCTCATGCAGTACGTTTCTTGGGCAAACTCACCGGCCCAAGTGGCTCTGTCGGCTAACGAAGGGGGGTGGAGTCCGGTGATTTTAATCGAGAAATTAATCTTTAATTTCCACAGCCCTATTTTTCACTTAACTTTATTGCTATGACATGGGAGCTAACAATAGAGGCAACATTAATTTTCTTTTTCCAGGCTTTCTACCTTTATATTCACGTTGTAATCCTGCACACACTTCCTGTCCCTTCATGTCTATGCTTTTATTTATTTTTTCTCCACTGTATCTATTGGGAGAGCCATGGTTGTTACACAGGCTGGATGTGATGGGGCTAGTAGTTTACACAATAACGTTAAGGTTAATTGTGCTTTCTTTAAAAGCTAAACTCCAAGGTAAATACATATTGTCTAAATATATTATATGATGCTTGGAGTTTTTGTGTTTTTCTCCTCCTGTAATAATGGCTGATCACTGTTGCTCTCTCTATTTTGTGAAGGGTGGTCTTGTAGCCATCCCCTCCTGTAGTTTACTGCAGATAGCCTGCAATGGGTGGAGCCTACTACAGCTCTGCTCTTTGTACAGAAAATGTATAGCACAGTGATGATGTCAACACTGTTTCTCAAGGTTTCTATGGGTTTTTAAAGGCATTTGGCACACACAAAATAGATTTATATCCTTTGTGGCCATTGAGGAGTGTATTTAAATTAACGTTTTTGAGCCTGAAGTTCAGCTTTAAGCTTACAGGAATTGGCAAGGACACTTTGACCTTTTATTAAGAGACAATTCATTGCTTTACCTGCTGTGCCTGAGTAGTCACCGACTGTTAGCTTGTATCTGTCTTTAGATGATCCAACGCTGAAGGTGCGATAAACAGCGTATGCTGTTTCATCTTCGGTACGGAGGTCCACGCGCAGCTCATACTGCACAGGAGTAGAAGTGAGTTTATGCATAGAATCCAGACCTACAACAACGGATACAAAAAGGTGATTACTCTACTTGAGTGTATGTATAGCCAACATTTTTTGCTTTTACGTGGATAGAGTAGTGAAGGGCTAAACCGTTCTCCCCTCTTGCTCTACTGAAAGCTCTAAAATTTGGGATTTCCTATCACTTCCCGTCTTAGTGAAAATTCCTAAACGTATAGAGGGGTAATTCTCCTATGCGGGAACATAGAGACACTTCTGAGATCATTTAGATCTAATTGACAGGTTCACTGCTTCACTCCTACTTGATGTACCCTCCATCAAGACAGTATAAATTCCCTAGGCCTTAGTCTTAGGCCCCTCTTGCAGCAAAGACCCTCTCCTGGCAGCAGACCTGCAGAGGACAGATTTCCAGCACAACCTCCTCTCAAGGCCGCAGTGCAGGAGGCAAAGACCCTTCTTGAAGGCCCCCCAAATGTTTATATTCTCCCCAGCATACACCACTGGCAATAAACTTCCTAGTGATTTTTCAGAGAGAAATAAATATTCATGGTTCAGTAATATTTCCTCTGCTGGGGAACACTCCCCAGCAACAGGCAGAAGTAAACAATAGTCTGAATCCCATCGAATACAGAAACAATGCAAATTAAAGCTCAGGCTGACCACAGCCAAGCTGCATCGCTACATTTAGAATACACTCTAGGCTATGGCAGCAAAAAGCATACTAGAAACGAAAGCCCCCGTTAAAATATAGGATACAAAATATGTATGACTTGAACGTTGGCAAAAACAAAAATGTTGGCTACCTAGTTTGATTTCTGGATGCGCATTTAAATATCATAGGTTTATTCTAAAAGCACCCCAAATCTTAACTTACCATGTACCTTACTGGCCTCATTATATAAGTTGACACAGACACCAATATCATGTAATATGTGCTACCCTATGAAGCAACCATTGAAAATTCACCTTTACCTGATCTGTCTATGGCTGACCTCTCATTGGTAGTGGTTACTGCACTTTTAAAATACTTATTGCTCTCGCACTGCCCTGTTTATTACGCCGTTATGTTACTTACCAAGCCAAAACTCCTCATTTGGGTCTCCAAAGCCATCCACATATGTCCTCCAGCGCTGATAGAAGTCAAGCTTTCCATTGTTTCTTCTCTGTATAACCTGAACAAAAATGTTGAATAAAGATAGTATGAGAATTTCAATGATCCAGTCACCGATAAGAACTTGCTGATTAGTACATAATTGGGTAAGTGCAGTATTAAAGTGACACTAAACTCAGCCAAATCTCAAAAATGCATTTAATTACCTTAACTATTAACAAAAAACGTATCTTATTTGTGCACCACTCCCGTGATGGACTACAATCTTGCGTTTTACTAATTTGTAACGAAATTGTAGTCCATCAAGGGAGTGAGCTTGGAGTGGTGACTACTTTACAACACACACAGGGACCATGGGGAACAAAAGTAGCCCCCCTCCAGAAGGAAGGACAGTGTCAGCACCAATTCAAAGATGATTTGAAGATCTACAGCTGAGTGACACACAAATAAGATATGTTTTTGTTAATAGTTAAGGTACTTGAATGCTTTTTAAAGATTTAACTTCTGAGTTTAGTGTCACTTTAGGGAAAAATAAGTGGTGGAAAATTAGCACCTGTGGGTTTGCTGATCACTTTTATATAATATATCAAAAAATTTCATTTTTTTGTGATCCGCATTATTGGAGGTACTTGAATGCATCTTTAAGATTTAACTTCTTAGTTAAGTGTAACTTTAAAGCACTAGGGTTGTATGTATTGAATTTTTTTTTACATTTTGTCCTTGTTTGGAAACTTAATCCAGCAGCAAAACTAAAAAAGGGACGAGTACTTGTGCATACCTCCAACTGTTCCTCATTTGGAGAGGCTGTCCCTATTAAAACCAAATCCCTCTATCCCTCTTTCTTCCTTAGATGTCCCTTTTTTGGCCCAATATACATATCTGAATAAAAAAATTATAATATATTTATCAAAAGTGTTTTACTGTCTTTCACCTTTTATTACACTTCTAAATTCATGCATCTGTCATATTAAAAGGCCAGTTTAAAATGAAACTAAAGTCAGGAGTTAAATCTTAAAAATGCATTTAAGTAACATAACTATTAACAAAAATGTATCTTCTTTGCGTATCACTCGGCTGTAGATCCTCAAATAATCTCTGAATTGGTGCTGACACTGTCCTTCCTTCTGGAGTGGGGCTACTTTGGGTGTTGTAAAGTCACTGCTCCAAGCTTACACCCTTGATGGACTACAATCTCACGTTTAGTTTACTTTGTATTAAGATTGTAGTCCATCACGGCAGCAAGCTTGGAACGGTGACTACATGATAGTAGCATGCCCTAATAATGTTTTTCAGGTTAACTTTCCAGATCATAAAATAAGGGGTGGACAATTTGGCAACTCTGACAGTTTTCTAGGGCAGCCTGATCTCTGAGAGATGCTGAACCGAGGAACACTTACAGTCCATCCTCCTCCATCTGTATCCTGATCGCAGTACACGCTAATGCCCTTTGTGTTCTCTCCTCCGGGGTAGATAGTGTAGACTCCACTATTTCTGTTGCCGGCCATTCGAACTTGGACACAGTTCACAGGGAAGGTGATGACCATAGACACTGGTATTGAGAAGAGAAACCATACATAAAGATGCATGAAAACATTACTGGCTCTATATTATTCATTGAGGCATCCCTTCTCATTGATAATTCAGGTTTCAAAACACGTGCCGTTAATAAAATGGTATTCCTTAAAATGACATAAGAATAATGGTATTTTTCCAAACAACGTAGAGATTAAGCTTTTTTTGTCATCTGCAGCCATTTTATTGGTTAGAATTCGAAACTTTTCGAACTTTCCGTCAAACTTCTGGTTTCTGAAGTTTAACTGCTCATTAATCTCTAGGGGGATCCTTTAAAGCAGGTTTACTTACCTGATCCCAACTCCTGCTGGCTCCAAGACTGGCACCCACCGCCTCTACCATCTCTGCTCAGGTGGTCGGAGGCCTGCTGACATCATCACGTCTACTGAACTACTCGATGGTAGACTTGAGGATGCCGAGGGGCAGTTGACAGCTGGAGCGTTATGGAGACAGGTAAGCAGAGACGGCCGGGGGAGCAGGGATCAAGTAAATAAAACCGCTTTAAAGAGTCACCCTAGACAAAAAATGGGCAGTTAACCCGTGCAGTGTGTGCGGGAACCCAAATGCAAGGGGAGGGATTTTATTTTCCATATAAATATTGCATATTGATATTTTGTATTCTTTTGTTTGGCTAGCAGCTCAACTTTTTTCACATATTTACAGGTTCTTCCCACCCCTTTGATATAAAAAGAAAAATCCTGTAGCTAAATCTACACCCATGAGCAAAGGACTCATGTCAGAGACTAATCCCTTATTGAACAGCTGGTCTCATGTTCAGGTCAGATTGGAGGGGAGATTATAGACAGAGAGCTACTGCAGTACTGTTTCTCTAGATAACCCATAATGCTCTGGGAATCCTTTGTCATGTATTTAATTTTGTTTTTATAACAAAGATCATATAT